TTGGAAGTTGCTGCACTTGTTATTTATGTTTCCAAATACTTCTTGAAGACAAGAAGACACAACCCAAAAGAAGCAGGGGGTCTACTGAGAAAACTCAATGTCTGAGTGGTCTGAAATGGTATTGTCTGCCTGCAAGGAAGCCAAGTCTGAAAGTGAGGAATTCTGTTCTTGGAGAAGGACAGATTTTCAGATATGAAGGACAGGGCTTGTTGACTTCAATACGATTTATAATTCTTCAGCTACAAGGGTTGCTCCCTTACTGTAACTACCAGTGACTGTGCTGGAAAAGCATTAAGATTACTCTTCATTATGTACGATACCAGATACCGGGGTGACTGAAGCCTTTGAATGAGAAACTGGAATATTGCAAAGAGGACCCTGTTTTAAAGAATTGCCAAACACTAACCAAGTATAGTAAGCAGAAGTGTCATGCTGTGCTGTGCATACTAGTAAGCTTTCATCTTAAGGTTAGTCTCGAGTTGACAAAAACGGGAAGGGATCTCATCTCAACAAATGCAAAAGAATTAATAAGTCCTTGATGGTGTTTATAGGAAGGACTTGGGTTTCTTACCGAAAAATCGCAAACATGCTCAGTTAGCCAATGTGATGCTTATGACAGCTCATACCCGGGCAAAAAGCAGGTGACGCTTGCAAGAGATTAACTTCTCCTGTCCCCTGATAGGAAGGAGACTGGAAAACAGGGGCAATTGTGTCCAGAGTATTGGCTTCTAGTGGGAAACTGTGCTGCATTTTGCTGTCTCCTCCTGCTGAAATCCAGCTACTTGTTCTTGAATCTCTGACTTCTGAAGTTATTCAGTTAAGTGATTTGTAACCTTCAGCCACCCTGTCTGTCTGTGGAGTACAGTTAGGTAGTGTAAGCCCTCAGTGCTCTTACATGGCAAACAAAGTGATTCAAAAGAAATGTTTAGATCTCATGGATCTGGATGCTATAACCAACAATATGAGTGCTTGGGGCTTGCCACATTGTGTTGTGTTAAGAAGAAGAAAAAAAAAAGATAAAAAGCTTTCTTGTCAGTAATTTTCATAAAGCCATGCAACAGAGCAGGTGGGATTTGCACGTAGAGCTTTGCCTTGGCTGACTTGCCTTTGTACTTGGAAGTTTTATCTGCAGTCTTGTAGGTCAAGATCAGGGTGCTTGAGATACTGCTTGACACAAGCATGACCGAATACACTGCCTCTACCAACTGTTGCTTGGGGGAAACACATGCTCAACAGCAGAAAGCTGTGTGGATCAAAAAAAGAAAGAGAAACACTAATGAATAAATGGGAGCATTGGCAAGGCAGTCTGTAACATTGATAACAGCTGGGAGAAACGGCTGTCTGAGCCCAGCTAGAGAAATCAAAACGCATCAGAGAAACAGGCATGGTTCCTCTTTACAGGACCACCCCATAGTCAGCTAGTGTTAGTGCAACATTAGCAGAAACTGAAAAGCCCTCGCATAATCCAGGGCTACAGTTTCAGCAGCTTCAGTTCCTCCTCCCCCTCAGACAGAATTAACAGAGGGAGCAAGAGTAATGCCATGGAGTAGAAGCTTTGTAATTCAATCAGATCACTGGCTGCAGCAAGGGGCTGTATCCTCTTCCAAAACCACTGGTGTTACAGATGCTATGCTCTGCATCTTATAAATGTCTCAGGTGCAAGGTTGTGTGGAGGCAAGAGTTTTAGGGATTTAGCTCAGATAGCATCTTTACTGGTGACACAGACAGTGGGATTGAGCGCGCCCTCAGCAAGTTTGCCAGTGACACCAAGCTGTGTGGTGTGGTGACACACTGGAGGGAAGGGATGCCATCCAGAGGGACCTGGACAGGATTGAGAGGTGGGCCCAGGCAAACTTCATGAAGTTCAACAAGGCCGAGCACAAGGTCCTGCACATGGGTCAGGGCAATCCCAGGCACAAATACAGGCTGGGTGAGGAGTGGCTGGAAAGCAGCCCCAAGGAGAAGGACTTGGGGGTATTAGTGGATGGAAAACTGACTGTGAGCCAGCAATGTGCACTCGCAGCCCAGAAAACCAACCGCGTCCTGGGCTGCAGCAAGAGCAGTGTGGCCAGCAGGTCGAGGGAGGGGATTCTCCCCCTCTACTCCGCTCTCATGAGACCCCCCCTGCAGTGCTGGGTCCAGCGCTGGGGCCCCCAGCATAAGAAGGACACGGACCTGCTCGAGTGGGTCCAGAGGAGGCCACGAAGATGCTCAGGGGGCTGGAGCAGCTCCCCTGTGAGGCCAGGCTGAGAGAGTTGGGGTTGTTCAGCCTGGAGAAGAGAAGGCTCCAGGGAGACATTATAGCGGCCTGCCAGTGCTCACAGGGGGCTACAGGGAAGGTGGGGAGGGACTCTTTGTCAGGGACTGTAGTGATAGGATGAGGGGTAATGGTTTTAAGCTGAAAGAGGGTAGATTTAGATTAGCTATAAGGAAGAAATTCTTTCCTGTGAGGGTGGTGAGGCATTGGTACAGGGTGCTGTCTTGGTTTGGGCTGAAATAGAGTTAATATTCCTTTTCAGGGACTAGATGAGTGCTGTGTTTTGGATTTAGCTTTGGGTTTGGTATGGGGAAAATGCTGATAGCACACTGGTGTTTTCAGCTGCTACCGAGACTTCAAGGACTCTCCGACTCCCCATGTCCTGCCCGTGCACAAGAAACAGGGAGGGAGCATGGACAGAGCACCAGACCCAAACTGGCCAGTGAAATATTCCATATCATGGAACGTCATGCTCACTATATAGAGGAGGGGTGGTTGGGAAGGAGCTCTCTCTCTCTCTCTCTCCCTTCTGGGATTGCGATTGTGGGATCTTGGTATCTCGGGGTCGCTGGCCGGGAACGGGCTGGGGATTGGTTAGTGGGTGGTGAGCAATTACGCTGTACATTGCCTGTTTATATATTTCTTTTTGTTTTCCCCCCATCATCGTTATTGTTCTCATTTTATTGCCATTATTAAACTGTTCTTATCTCAGCCTGCCAGTCTCCCTTCACCCCTCTAATCCCCTCCCCCATTCCCAGGTGGGGAGGGGGAAGGGAGGGTGATTAGCTGCAGGGGTTGGTTGCCAATCAGGCCCAAACCACGACAGGTGCCCAGAGCAGCTGTGGCTGCCCCCTCCCTGGAAGGGCTCAAGGCCGGGTTGGACGGGGCTTGGAGCAACCTGGTCTGGTGGAAGGTGTCCCTGCCCGTGGCAGGGAGGTTGGAACTAGATGATCTTCAAGGTCCCTTCCAAACCAAATCATTCTATGTTTCTATGATTAAAATGTTATAGCAGGCTGTGATTTAGGCATAAATTGATTAGAAGAGACTTAAGTCTCCTTTTTATCTTCTGGAGCAAAAAGAAATGCTACTACTCAAGGTCTGGCTCATGCTGCATGGTAAGACAGGAGTGCCACAGTAGAGTGGCACTCTACTAAAAAGTAAGATATTTCAAAAACAATGTTTCATTATTTAATCCCTGGGTTTAGGAACTTGCCTTGCTCATAGGTAGGAAGAGATGATCAAAAAGACTACTCCTTCCAACTGCAAGTTAGCATGAATGTGTTTGGTCACATCTAAGAAATAGATTAGGAGTCAGGTGACAAGAGTTTTGTCACTGAGAAGTCTTGATTCATGTATGCCTTCAGACTGGAAACAAAAGGCTCATTTTTGTGCTGTTGCACTGGCCACTTGCAGTACTGAGTAAAAATATGTTTCTAGGCAGATTTGGTGTGCAAATAAAGAGTAAACAGAGAGCGGTTTGCCTAAACACAGGCATAATTATTCAAGCCACTCCTCAAGGTTCATTTGACTTTTCTTCCCCAGCAGTTATTTCTACACACACTCCCCACAACTGAGAGAAATCTGTTTGGTTTACCGAGCTCCATTTGTAAAGAGAAAAATACAGGAAAAGCTCACATAAGTAACCCTGAAAAGCGGTGAAAGACATCTGAGTGAACTTCAGAAAGGTAACTTGAGAGACAGTGATGAATTTGCATCTAAAATGGATATTGAATACATTCCTTTTACAACTTACAAGTTCCTTATGGTACGATATATGACATAATTTAAAGAGGTCTACAGAAACAGTAATATAAGGTGATGGAAAGGAAGTTATATGTACTGTAGAAATCACAAATCATAGGTATGTAAATGCATAGTATTCATTAAATATTCAGTTTAAAAAAGAAGAAGCATAAATACTTTGGTTTTAAGTACTCCAGTTCCTAAGCTCTGAAATTTCAGAAAGCCCATTAACAGAAAGATAATAAAATGTTTGATATCATGTCAAGTATTAAGTACTACTAGAAGAGCAGAGTATGATTTATTGCTGAAAAACGGAAACAAAATGGAACATATGCAGGGACTGAAAGTGGATTTCTAAGGGTTATTCTGTTTTGAAATAGAATAGAGAGCCTGAGATAATCTAATTTTACGGTTTTTCTCATATAGCAAGTAGTCAAGGCTACATTTAAATTCTCTTGATTTTGCCTGGCAATTCAAGTTTGGACATACATCTCCTTTTGAGATATCCAAGAAGGAGGGAGTGGGGAAGAAAAAAAAAAAAAAAATCACACAAGAAACTTAAAACTAAACCGAACGTTTTATTCACATCCCTAACACTTAATCCCCGCTTTGTCTAACGGTCCAGAGCCACCGCTGCAAAAACTCTCGCACAGGGGGTAAAACACTCCGGCTGCCTGCAAGGGCTACTGAGGTCTTTTACCACCAGCAGCAGCCTCCGCGCTTTCGCGTTTCTGGTTTAAAAGTCCCGTCCGCGCTTTTTACCTCGGGAGTCCCCGTCGCCGCCCGCCCCCCCCCCCCCCCCCCCCCCCAACCCCCCGGTCCCCCCGCTATGGACAAGGCAAACATGGAGTAGCTGTTGTCCTTTCACTCGGGAACATTAAACACCCCCCGCCCCGCCTTCACCCCGCGCTGCCCGCTCTGCGCGGGGGCGCAGCCTGCGCGGGGGCCACCCCCAGCCTGTCCCGCACCCGGGGCCCGGGGGGAGCCGGGCTGCCCTTACCTACGCCTCCCTTCTCCCTCGCAGCCTCTTCCTCCGCCTGCCCTCGCCCCCTCCGGGGGCTTTCACCGCCGGCCCGGGCCAGCCCCGCGGCCGCGGAACCCTCCAGCTGCGGCCGCCGGAGGAGGATGCGCCGCGGCTGCCCCAGATGTTCGCGGCGCGGCCGCCCAGATGTTCCCCTGGCGGCCCCCCGGGGGGGGGGGGGGGGGGCGGGCGGTTTCCTCCCCGCCTGGCCGGGGAGGACCCGGGGCAGAGCCAAATAAAAGGGGCTCGGGAAAAGCGAGGCTTCCGCGGGGCCCCGGCGCTGCCCCGGCGCCCGTCCCCCCGCTCCTGCCCCGCTCCCCGGGTGAAGCGGCCGGCAGCGGGGCTCACGGCCGAAGGTAGCGGTTCCCACTAGCCCGGCAAAAGTAGAAAAAGCAGGGAGGCTTTCTGACACACAAGCCCTCCTTTGATCGCTGCATACAGCACGGGCTTTTTTTTTACTTGCCCTCACCGCCCGCCCCCCCCCCCACACACTTCCCCACCCTACCCCGTGGTTTTCTCCACGAAAATGAGCACCCGTGGCTGTAGTTCCTGTAATTCCGCAGGAATGTATGGCAGAGCCCTGAATCCAAAAGAAGAATGTCTAAAAATAAAATTGAAGGGCTGAAGACACAGTTTTCTTTGCAAATGTCACACGGTAGTAAACGGCGTTGGTGACACCACTGAATCATTCACAGTGTAATGAAAGGCATCTTATACTGCACCACCATCAGACAGCAGAGAGCACCAATGAAATCCTCAAATCTGACATAATGAAGAAATCCTCCCTTGAGGTGTTAGTCAAGAGGTTCTGATAATTGGGTTTTTGAAGCTCTTCTAAACTATACCAGAAGCCTCCCTGACCCCTTCTCCCCCTGTCAGCATCAAGCTCTTGTGTTGCCAACCCCCCCTGTGGCTGTCGGAACAGCCAAGCAGAGGTGCAGCTCTCCCCACCAGCTAGTCATCACTTGGACTAAATTCTGAGACCTCCCCAAGTCCCCTAATTTAAGATTTCTGCTTTTCAGGAACTGAAAGATTTTCGCTGTGGGAAATTTATGAATGAAATTAACTCCATGTAAAGATGAAAACTTATATCAACAGTGCATATCTGTTTGACACTTTGTCACCCTCGGTTATCTTGTCAGACAGCTCTGTCCATGACTGTCTCTTCAGTATAAAGCGACACTTTCACTACCAGATAAATAGAACTCCAGCAAATACCCTCCAGCATCTGGCAAGCAGATCCCTTTGCAGGTTGGGTGATGTAATGAGTACAGAGAAAAAGGCGAGTAATAATTTCCAGAAGGACCACCTCTCTGTAAACAGTGTTTCAGAAATCTAACCTCTGTGGCAGCTGCTCCCCTTTCCTGGTCTGACTGATGACTTCTGCAATTTTTTTTAGGTGGCAGAATGCATCTCACCTAATGGCATTAATTCCTACCTAATAGATATCCTTCTGTTGCAGAAGAGTTTTCAGTTAGACTGAGCTAAACCAGTCAATGAAACTGATAACTGTAGTTACCTCATCTATTTACCACTAGTTTGGTGTGTTTGTCTTGGCAGTAGAGCAAAAATCACTTCCTGGGATTCCTCACTTCCATCCATACTTAAGATGACTGAAAAGTGATTCTAAGTAACGATTAGTGTCTCCAATGTCAAAAACTCCAATTAGCATCCAAGAAACCCAGCAGGGATTCTGCACTTCTACAAGGACCATTGCAGTGTGCATTAAAGTAACCACAGAGAAGTGCATGCATAGAATATTCTATAAAACTATTAGAGACTACAGAAACAACAAAGCATCCTTTGCAATTTTTTACCAAAGGTCAACAAGAGGCCAACAGCACTGCTATATTCAGTAAGGTTCAGATCTTCCTTCATTTTAATCTTATTTTTTTTTACCTTATTCCAGAGTTAGGAAATTAATTGACCGTACGTGTTCCCAATCTCTCTACCCCCTCCCCCCAGCTGTGCAAGGGATGGGGCTTACAGTCAGTCTGGCGTTCCTACCTTCTCAAAGTGGGGGGGACTCTTCACATTCTTTCTCCTGCTCCATGTGGCTCCCCTCTCAATGGAGACAGTACTCCATGAACCTTCTCTAGACCGAGTCCTCCCACGGGATGCAGCCATTCCCATGCTGATCTGGCGTGGGTCCCCCACGCATGTTCCAGTCCTCCCAGTGCCAAACTACAACAGCGGGGGGCTGCTTCTCCCCTCAGAGTCCCAGTCTCCTTTAAGCACAGACACCTGTCCTGGTGTGGGCTCCTCCACAGGCCTCTGCTCCACCGTGGACCTCCGTGGGCAGCAGCATGGGGACATCCCTGCCGTCTCACCATGGGAAACAGGGGTCTCTGCCCTAGTGCACCTTCCCCGCCTTCCTCCTCCTTCCTTCCACTGACCTCGGTGTTTGCATTGGTGTCCTTAGCCCCTCCTCAAAAATCCCAGCCCCCTCTCAGGTTCCTTTTCTTAAACACATTATCACAGAGGTGCAGCCACCGTTGCTGATGGGCTCGGCCTTAGTGCAGAGGCAGCTCTGACTTGAAGCCGAGGAGCTTTCCAGAAGCTTCTCACAGGGGGCCACCGCTGTAGCCTCCTCCCCCACTACCAAAAACCCCGCCACCCACTCAAACCCAGCACAGGCCTTTGCTGCTCTTACCTTGACTTGCTGCATTCGTACCAACCTGCCTCCTGAGGAGGCTGCCTGGCCTCTAGCACGGTTATAGAGTGGAGACGTGCAAGACTGTGGCCCTGCACAGCCAGGGAGGGGCTGAAGCTAACCATGGACCCTCAGGACATGTGTCTGTGCGAAAAATGAAGTGAGATGTCTATCTGCTCCCTTGGACACTTCAAGTCCAAGATGTGCTGTTTGTAGGTATCTCTGTAGCACCAGATCCAATTTACAGCTGATGAAGGGTAGCATATAAATGTAGCTGACACAGATGAAATAATTGATCTCCAGAGTGCCCAGAAAGTTAAACAAATAATCCTGGCTTTGAAAAGTTTATGCAACAGTTGAACAAAGAGCAAATACATGCATTGGCTATGCCTTGAGGAAAAGCAAACATTGACATTCTGTTTTCAATACAACTTGTAACAAGCAAAATAAATAAAAAGTGAATTTGAATACAAAGATCCATCTTTCAACAGTCTGATTTTTGGAGTGCTAGTAGGGATATTTTCTCTCGGATGGATTTAGAAGGTATGGGTTTACATCTGTAAAGTTTAAAAATGCTTCTAGGCCTAATTCTGCCATCAGTAAAAAATATGGTTACATTGCACATGGTGTTTAAAAAATTATTAATATTTATAATTATTAATTATGATGTTGTTATTTGAAGTGCTTTTCATTTTTTTACAAGTAGCCTGTGTAAGAAACTTTCAAGAAACTTTTTTTTTTTTTAAGTTTGTATCCTTGCTGATCATTAATCAGCAATTTGTCAAGCTGACTCCTGGCATATAAAAATGTATCCCCTCCCTTATGGAAGTCTTTCAACTAGAAGAACATGCAAACCCATAGGAAAATAGACAAAAGAGCTCGTCCTACTCTTCCCTGCATTAAGAGAGGAACAGCAATGATTTCAGGGGCAATACCTGAACCAATTGGCTATGCTGTAAGTCGATTAGAGTGTTTTGAACTAACCTAGCAATTTGGCATGGGGAGTCCAATGCAATAAAGTCAGAAATGCCAAGCTTATTAATGGTAAGAATTTTCTCCCCAGACTTCTCCATTTCTGTATAATGATGATTCAGAACAGAGACATCTGGGAAAAGTAGAAGCATTAGGAGGAAGTAGTTTGCAAAGCCTGAATATTTTTCTTCTTGGAGTATCAGTGCTTGAAAGGCATATATGCCTTGACACTGAGCGCTGCGCTGGTAAGGTTTTCTACGGTACAAAGACGTATAATAATGATGATCCCTGTCTTCACATTGCAGATTAGGAATCTTTACTTATTCTTTCCTTGTCATGTATCAGCTGAATGAGAGCAAAGATGATTTTTAAGGCTGCAAATGCCACCACAGAAGTTTGAAATGTGGAGTGACATTTCTTTTTACTACACTTCAGTTTATGAAGCAAATTTTGAATTAGAAACTGAGAGATTATTCACGCTGGGGAAAATGATGTGCACTAACCTGGCATTTTTTCAGTGGAGGATGGTCAGCACCAGGTTAGTCGAACAATGTCTGCTACAGCGTAACTTCTCCATAGTGTCAGGCAGTGGAGAGCTTGTCTGGTGTAGTCACTCAGGGTCGAATACCAAGCCAAATCCTAGTTTATCAGTTCTTGAAGAAGTTGGGACATGGAAATATAAAGCAGAGGGCTGTGGGAAAACAAGGGATAATCTGCCATCTGAGGAAATGGCAGCTGCAAGAACTAGAAACTCCCTGCCTTCATCGGGTTCCTTGGTCATTTCTAGGTGAGTTACCTGCATGCCTATGTTTGACTGATGGTTTCTTATTTGGGGGCACCTGGTAGGACACATCTAGGTTATAGATTTATGGAAGCACCAAGCAGTCACAACAGCAAATGAAGTCTGCTGGAGCAGTTAGTTAAAACATAAAGTGTTCTGAACAAATGTCAGGGCCAGTGGAGTATGCAAAAAGGTGTAGCAAATCATAATAAAAAATTCTCAGTTCCCTGGAAATAGTATCTCCTCACCTTTAATGCACACTGCGATGATAATCATGTTTGCAAAACATTCAGAGGTTGCAGGAAATCGACCCCAGAAAACCTCATAAAGAAGCTGGCAGCTCTGAATTCAGCACACTCTCTGGGTTGTGCGGTGATAAATGGGGCTCCTAGTCACACACTTAGTCCAGGAAATGCAGAGACCAGCTTCGTTCCCAGACACTGTCCTGCGTTTACACTAAACGAGGCGCTAGTCCTGTGGGAAAAATAGTATGCAGTCAAACGATTAAATCATGTCACATAATACACGTTGTGTGGGGGAAGGGAAGAGGGGGCTGAACTACGCTTCCAAAGGCAGGAGGGTTTGGATTTGTCCAGCTTTTGAAAGTTTAACTTTGTGAACCTAGTGGTGTTCTTTCAACTTTTTTTATGATGCAATTTTGTCTTCCTCACTGTTTTGTGAATTTTTGTTCTCTCTGTCTCTCTCTGACTCACTTGCTGTGTTCAGCACGTACCT